ACAAAATAAGAAGCGCAATAAGAGGTATAACACACGTAGTAATTATAGAACATAGATATATAACAGCAAAGAGCATTACCGAAATCGCTGCAGTTCACTCTCATTGCAAATTTTTGGTTGCGGGCTCATTCGTATCATGCCGCACATGTACAAAACCCCTGCGGGTAAAAACCGACAGCAACTTCCCCTCCCGCCGTATCTTAACCGCTGCCTGCAGCAGTTTTCTATGTTCAGTAGGAAGACTCTCAAAAATAAAGAATAAAAAAGTTAATTAAAAATAGAAAAAACCAGTTTTATAACAAAAAAATTTTTTTTTACAAATGTATTTTTGCGTAGAATTCCTTCTGCGTAGGCGGCCTTCGGCCGCACTTAGGGATTATAACCCTCAGGCAGTAGAATTCTCCTTTCTGTGTTGCCAAAGAAGGCGGGCTGAACACCTTTTGCAGAGAACACCTTTCTGCGTAGGCGGCCTTCGACCGCATTTAGGGATTATAACCCTCAGGTAGTAGAATTCTCCTTTCTGTGTTGCCAAAGAAGGGGGGGTTTAACACCTTTTGCAGAGAACACCTTTCTGCTAGCGGCTACAACAACCCCGCCCGGGTCGGTTGATATCTCAGTCGTTGTCGTCAAGTTCCACTAACGGCAGCCCTAGGAAGCGTGCAGCCGCTATCATGTCGGTCCACAAGGACAAAGCCGTTAGGGTTGTCGGGTTTTCCGGGCATGGGAAGAGATGTTTCGAGTCATGTGGGGTCTCCCCGCACGCCGGACACTCATTTGGCACATCCTCATTCAATCTACTTAGGTAGGAGTTTAATCTGCTGCAGTAGCCAGAGCGAAGTTGGGCTATTGTTGTTCGTGTCTCCTGAGGCAGATGAAGCTCCGTCTCGTCTAGGGCCAGTCGGTAAGATGACGGGTCCAGAGGTTGCTTGATGAACCTCTGGACTTCGTCCGTCAGTTCATATAGATGCCTCCTGACGTGCCTAGGCGAGGGCTCCTCTGCAAGCAGCTGTCTGTTTGGGTGGCCACTTCTGTGGCTCCCGATCAGGAACTGC